GTGCCCACATGTAAATCAATTATTTGAGTTGTCCCTCACCCATGCTAACTCCCAGAACATGCATGTGAATTGTCCTGAAGACCACTGGTTGCCTCAGGCCAAAACTGTGCCAAGACCTGCTGTAAGAACAAGAAAGTATAAAAAATCACATTCCAGTGCTAAGTAAGTTCCCCAGTGTGCTCCTTAACTGACTAGTATGGAAATAATTTCTTTATCATACAAAAGAGGAAATAGATACGTTGCATGAGATCTTACTTTTATTTCCCATCCCCAAGGGACTAGTTAAGGTTGAAAATAAATATAAAGTAGCCATTATCTTTCCTGTCCAAACCATGTTCCCAACTCTCATAACCCTAGGCCCAAATCTTTTGTATGCTAAAGAATCCTCGGCATAAATCTCAAGATGGGTTTTATCCTCTCCTGTACACCGTAACTGGGATTAAGGAATCACCAGTTCTCCTCAATGGTCAGTATCTATGTTCTCAAATACCTTGGATTTCATAAATTCATTAGCCAAACTATTTTACATATTTTCTACTACTGTAATATCATTGAAGCATAAAGATGTTAACAGATGATGGTACTTGAGCAATAGAAGGAAGCAGAGTTGTCACTCTTACAGGAAAACTGAGGAAGGAAGAAACTAATTAATTTGTCTGTATCTTACAGGCAAAATTGAAATCAGTTTCATAATTCCTAGGCTAATGATTTAACCAATTTATTTTCTTGTCTGTGTAATCTGGGTTTAAAAGGCATGAGCAGATGTTTTCAGTGACTCGCTCACTGATATCAGCATGCGCATGACTACTGTGCTCACGGGGCTCAAAACAATTTGATTTTGAGACAAACAGCAAACAAAATAAAACCAAAGAAAATGGAGATCAAGATAGCAAAGTGGTATTTGAAATGCAATTCTTCACCTTTGTTCACATCAAGTATTACAGGTCTTTCTCATTATATACAAATTCAGAGCTGTACACAATCTTCTTGCAGTCTTCCTTTATATAAATGAGTAGTTTTTAACAGGTATCAGTGAAAAGCTAAAAGAAAATCACATAAATATAATGAAACCCAGAAGTAGGTCCAACTTATGCTGTAGTAATTCATGTTTGATTTTGCTGACCATTTATGCAAGGTAAGATTCTACCTTGCTAAAATACTGAGCAAGAAAAGACTTTTGACCTCTGATACATCTTTTAAAGAATCAGAGAGAATATATCACAGTGTGAAATAAATGTAAAAATTATACTCATATTCATGTATATTTCCAAAGCATGATACTTTATCATGATTTTGAGGGAAGGCAAGATGTCACATCCCTTTGTCCATTTTAAGAATATTGTCGTGGTTTAACCCCAACCAGCAACCACGTACCACACAGACACTCGCCTATCTCACTCCTCCCCCAGTGGAGCAGGAAATTGGAGGAAAAGACAAGGGAACTCATGGATTGAGATAAGAACAACTTAATAATTGAAAACAAATGAAATAATGACACTAATAATGCTAACAATACTAACAATATTGATAATACTACTGCTACTATGTAATGAAAATAATACTACCACTACTACTTAGAATATGTAATGAAAATAATGGAAAATAAAATAAATTTTGCAACCTCTCACCACCTGCTGACTAATGCCCAGCCAGTCCCTGAGTCAGAGACCCAGACCCAGAGAGAGAGTAAGACCATGCCCGAGAGAGATTGAGCACCCACGAGTGAGAGAGAACAAGACCCTCAGTCCACCCCTAATTTACATACTGACCATGATGTTTTATGGCATGAAATACCATTTTGGTCTGCTTGAGTGAGCTGTCCTGGCTGTGTCACCTCACAGCTTCTTGTAGAGAAAAGACTGGGAGGTTTTACTGCAGGTGCAGTATCAGAAACTCAAAAATTCCTTGTCTTGATGTAAACATTCCTTAGCAACAACAAAAACCATTAGTATATCAGTATTCTCAGCACAACCAAAACATAGCCTCACACTAGCTACTCTGAAATTACCTCTATCCCTACTAAAAACAGCATAAATATACAGTCTCATAATATGTGCCCTGTTCCAAAATCTGAAAAAGTAATTTATGTAAGATACTTTGAAAAAATAATTAATATAAGGTACTTTAAAAATTATAGCCTAAGAGCCTTCTTGTAGAAACTGATATGTTTAATAGAAATTATAAAAATTGTCTAATATCTCCCATGTACATGATGCATAAATTTTGAATACTTTCGTTCTTTTACCGGAAAGGCATTGTTAATATATTTCTAAAAGGAAAAGAAAATAACATGTATGACTGTACTTTCATGGCAACACATATATCTCTAATGTGTTTGAAGAATGTATCCTGAACCCCTGTTGTTCAGTGTTGTACCTTAAAATAATCATACAAAAACTAAAGGAAAACCTGTGTTACTCTGTGTAAATTGCAGTGGGTACTGCTAGGAGGGAAGTTTTAAGTTAGGTTGTTTGTCACTAACTTCATGAGACCCTACTCAGGGCTTTTATGATCTCTGAATATATTCAGAATTGGGATCCTGTCCTCTACTCACTGAAATAACGTAGGACTTTTTTTGTTTCCTGTTAAACAAAGGAACCAATTGAACTGTGAGCAAGGGATCTAGAATTCTTGAGGCTCTTCGAGCATCTAAAGAACCACTCCCCAGCTCTCAGCTGCTGCACCAAATTCTGTCTGCCTTCATACTGCACAGTGCCTTCCTCCACAGAGATACTGTGCAAGTTGGGATGATGCTGAACTGGAATTGAATGAAGATTAAGAGATATTATTGGATGTGGTCACTATTAATCAGATATGTTCATTGTTTTTTTTAATTCCAAGATGAGTTTGTAGATGGTCAGTTTGTCTACTACTTGTAAATGGATAAAGCACACTTCTACTTGTAGCTGGTCCTACTTTACTAGGAAATAATTGAGGAATACCTTTTGGCTTTGACAGATGCCTCTTGAAAACATTTCATTTAGTAGTTCCTAAGAACAAGAAAGAAATAATGTATAGTTTCTGCAGTGCCACCATGAAAAGACTTTGTCCCTTGCCGTATTAATTATAAACAATAGAAATGCAAAGGTTTATACAAACTACAAAGTAAGCAGTTAACGCAAATAATCTGAAGGGTCTATTTATGTCTGAATACTTTAAAAAAGTGTTCTTTTACTTAACCATGACCCCATTCTGTCATCCCTACACCACCCAAATTCATATCATAGATTTCTTGAATAGGTAACTGTTTCTGTATAGTGGCTGACACTCTTCTTAGATGCAAAAGGATAAAATAATTATCATTTTGACTAGCCAGCTAAACTGTTTTTTATGTATCTACTATCTTGCAAGGAGTCTCAACACAGAGTAAAATATAATACTGCCTGCTTTGTATTGAATTTATATCTCCTTTCAGTCAGATACTGCATTTGCAGGTAAACTTGTTTATAAAATGCATCTAGTGACTAAAGAAGATTTTCTGCATTTGTAGGAAAATTTAAAGAAGCATAATATATACTGGGGTTTAGCATTTCTTTTCCACAAAAATATTTGCTGCTTGCAAATATTTTGTCAGTTAAAGAAATAACTGTTACAACATAGCCTAATGGTTTAACCACAACTTGAATGCTAGCTCTAATTCTTTCACTGGTGAATTTACCACTGACTCTGGCTTTCAGTAAGATTTTTCTTTATATCTCTCCGTTATTTTTCTCCATCTTCTAAATGGGTATGCTTTACTTGCCTTCTTAATATCTTGAAGATTTAAGCAGTTGCTAAGTAATAAATATGGATTTTCTGCATTCCATTGTGGAAAAATAATGAGTTTTCATCATTGGAAGCATTTTCTACAGACTCCAAGAAAAGTGATCTGAGAAAAGTTTTCATCTTTAATTATAGGTACAACTTCAAATTCTTTAATTTATGTTCTGATAAACATACTGATGTTGACTGATTCCTTACTCCATGAAGATTAATGAATCAAAGTCTGGAAGAAAATGTTGTTTTCTTCTGATTTCTCCTTAGTACAAATCAGAAGTAAATGGAAGTGAAGGGCTTTTAAAAGTCACAGTACTGGGATCAAAACAGTGTATGACAGTTCATGGGCACTGGTGATGACAACAAGCATAAATAGTATTCCTTAATGCTTTTCTCCCCAAAATCATTTATAGGTAACCCATTATTAACCAGCAAAGTCAACGTTATAATAAATGTCCTGGATGTCAACGAGTTTCCTCCTGAAATTTCAGTTCCATATGAGACATCTGTATGTGAAAATGCCAAACCAGGACAGGTATTTCAAATTTGTAATGTTTGCTATATTGCTTTTTCTTTCCTTATCATTTATAGCAATAGAAATTTCTGGGTTTGAAAATGACACCATCGTTTGAATTATTTTACAAATAAAATGTCTGTGTTGGAAATACCTTTTGGAATTCTGTTTGTTGACCTTTATGGTCTATTTATTTTTAACATCCCTGATGATATGGGTCTAAGCCACACTGTACTGTGCACTTAATATCTGTGCCCCAAAGACAATCCTTCTGAAATCTTGTTTTTGTAAGCAGTTTCAAATATATATATAGCACACAAAACCTATTTCAGATTCAAATATCACTTTGTACCACGAGTGATGCCAGTATTAATAGACCTGGCCCCAGAAGCTGTTGGCACGTGCTCCTTCTGCACGAAACTCGTACAGTTAAACACAGTGCAGCAAAGCACCAAGGCCAACCATGAAGACTTTTAACTTCAACTGTTGAACTTCGAGAGTTGGTGCAAGCCATGGAAGGAAAATGTTCATCCTGCTGAGTAATCAGTGACTACTTTTTATATGTATGTAATATGTAATCAGTCTATGTGATTTTTATTGCATTTCATATTACAGATTTGTCCATGACTTCATACGATATTCCTATGCCATTTTTCTTAATGTATGTTCTAACTAACCACCATACAACCTAAGTTAATTTCTAATTTATCGGATAAATTTAGTTACTTCCTCATCCAGACACTAACAGGAGAAAGGGTAACCTTTTACAGGGAAGGCTGAGACAAGCACTGAGCTGTCAACAGTTATAAATATGTAGGCTTTTGTTACATAAAAAGTCTTCCTTTTAAGAAGATCAGTAGTAATCCTACTACTGAACATTTTAACTGCACTGTGCCTACTTGAAATCTAGTAGATAGGGCCCAGAAGTTCCTTCACACCTAAATGGTGTAGACCTTTCAATCCTTTCTAATTAATCTGAGGATGTAAAATTAGGATGCAGCTTTGTGAAGTACTACAACATATACTGGTCATAACAGTGATAGTAATAGCAGCAGAAAAAGTGAACTAAGTAATCACTCACCTGAAAACAATCACTAGTATTTTCATAAAAAAGACAAATATTAAAGGCTTCTGCTATAAATATAGGGTAAATCTCTCCAATTTCGTTCAGGTATGTCAAAACGCGACCTTCTAAGATATCACGGGTCCTGTGGAGGTTATAGTATTCATACTTCCTGTCTCCACTGTTTCCTTAGGGGAATGAGGGTAATCCAGCAGGATTTAATTTTCGTTGTTTCATTTGATGTCCACTTTGCACTTTGACAAAACTGCTTCTATTAGAAGAGTGGACTCACTTCAGGATTATTCTTAATCTGGTTTCAGGTGATACAGACTGTCACTGCAGCAGACAAAGATTTGTCACCAGCTGGGCAAAGGTTTTCCTTCAGACTGTCACCTGAGGCTTCCAACAAACCAAATTTCACAGTCCATGACTACAGAAGTAAGTTGCTTACCCATATCTTTGTTTCAGAGCAGCAGGTTTTGATTATAATGACAAAAATTATTACTATGTGTAACAGTCATGTCCATAGACTAACATTTTATTTGACATTCCTAATTTTTTATTTGACATTCCTAACTATTTATTAATAT